TTCGAGGTCCTCTGGGGGGACCTCTGGGAGACTTCTTGGAGCGTTTTGGCCTTCCTTCCGCACCGCGCTCACGCCGTCGACAGCTCGGATCCGGTCGCGGGCACGGAACACCCCAATAATCGGGGCAGGTCCGCACTTGACCCACTCGCTTTCAGCTCCTCCAAAGAAGCCGCAGTGCTGCTCGAGCACCTCCTCGATGATCTGCGACTTTCCTTTCCAATCGACCACGCTGCCCCCGCCCCGGTAGCAGGCGGCCCCCTCGGGGGGGGGGCGCCCATCATGTCCGCGACTCCCTGGGGGCGGCGACCTCATCGACGCGGTCCGCCTCGAAGGTCGCGCGCGCCGCTAGCTTCTTCGCCCCCCCCGCAAAATGCCTCGCCCAGCCTGGGGAGGCCCCCTGGCGCCCGCGCGCCCGTTGCCCTCTCGCGCCGGCGAACGCGGGCTGACTCCTGGGCGAGCCTCACCGCTCGCAGCTGAGCCAACCCCGCGGCAAAGCCATCCCCTCGTAGATCCACGGCAAGCGCTCTGCCACCAGCTGGTCGCCTCAACGGTCCGGCACATGTGGCATTGATGCCCTCGATGATCTGATTCGCCTCCCTGCAGAAGAGCCTCCGACGAGCCTCTCGCAGCCGAATGCGACCCGATGTTGACACGATGCCGGCGGCATCGGTGGGGTCGGGATCGGCAGGCAGTTGGCTCGAGCCTCGAAGGCAGTCACCACCTCCTCCAGGCTCGGGAGCGCACCCTTGCGGCACATGGTTGGTCTCGAGGGAGGTGGGAGCCCGCGAGATGGGAGGTCGGCCGCCGACGCACCTCCCGTAGTATGTCCTTCTCCTGGCACAGGCAGCCGTCGCGCTGGTTGAGATGGAGCGATCCCTGGCTGCCGAGATCGCCCCCCAGGGTCGGGGGGTCCGGAGGACCTGCCCTCCCCTTCGGTTGACTCCTCGAGTCGCCCTCGGGGCAGTCGCCGTGGCCTCCTTTGCCTCGCCGACGCAGCTCTGCACGCACTCGCCCTTCTCGTTCTAGCTCGGAGCGCAGCGTAGCCTCAACTTTCATCCAATTGGGAGCGATATCAAGTGCACCCCCTGGCGCTGCCACCGCCCTCAAACGAGCTCCTCCGACGTAGTCCTTGGCGCGCTGCTCGCGCAGGCGCGCGCGGACAGGGGCCGCCAGGCCAGCTCGAGTTGGTCGTCGGTGTTCAGCCGCTGGCACAGCTCCTGGTCCGAGACGACGCCGCCGACAGCGAAGTCCACCGTGGCAGCCATCGCATCTAGGTGCTGCCACTCGGCGCCACGCTTGGACTCAGCGCGGCACACCTGCAGCCAATGGCGGACCGACGTCGCGCCAGCACTCCGCATGTTGCGATAGATATCGCAAGCAGCGCGTCGGAAATCCGGAGGTAGGCTGCGCGCCCAACGCCCACGTTGCTGCTGGACGCCAGGCCACCCTGCGCGAGGCCACCCGCGAAGCTGCCCGTCGAAGCCGACCCGAAGCCTCGCAGCAGCGCCCGAACGACCTCGGGGTCGAGGGCCCCCGCCGCGGCGGCGCTCACGTAGCCGCGGGCCTGCAGCGCCGCGCGGATGCCAACTCCCAAGCCCCCCGCCGCCCCGAGATCCACGACCTTCCTCCAGAAGCGCAGGGTCTGGGGGCTGCGCGTTGGCGCGGAAGTCCAGCTCCATCCTCAGCCTCTGGGTACACGGCGCCGTCGCGCTCGTCGCCGGGGCGGGCGATCCCGTCGGCCCGCTCAGGACGGCCGCGCCTCCGCCCAGCTGAGGGGGCGCGGCCGCGGGCCCGCTGGGGCTCGTCCAGGCCGAGACCCACATCTGCGCCGTGGGCGAAGGCCGCCAGGGCGCTCATGCCACGGCCCCCCGCGGGCGGCAAGCCCGCCGGCGTCATCGGCGCGGGGCCGGGCGGCCCGAGCGCGACGGGCGCGGCCGCGGGAGGCGGCAAGGGGGAGAGCCCCGTTGGCGGCGGGCCCTCGGCGCCTCGGAGCCTGGGGCACCGGGTTCGGCGGGCGAGGCCACCTGCAGCGCGGCAAAGCGCCGGCGCAGCTCGGCAAGCTCCGCTCTCCTGCGACGCGCCACACCCGAAGCCGAGCCCCGCCCGCCACCGCGCGGCCACCAGCGTCGCGACCAGGACCACCAGGCCCCAGAGCGCCCTCGTCACCGCCGAGCGGCCAGCGTCCGCGGTCCACGCCCCTCGCCGCAACAGCGTCGTGAGCGCGAGACCGTTGGCCAGCCGGGCGAGCGCCCGCCAGCGGCTTCGGCCGCCGTCGTCAGGACCCGCACGAGGAGGAGACATGGCGAACAGGTATGAAGGGGGTCCTCTGCCGCGGCTGGGCCTAGCACCAGGTCGGTCTTCAGAACTGAGCCATAGGGTTCCGACCCAGAAGAAACTATGGGGGGGACATGTGAGAGCTCAAACACATGAATACCCATTCGAAACTCACGCATTCATACATACATGCATACATACATGCATGCATGCATGCATGCATGCATGCATGCATACATACATCCATACATACATACATATCCCCCTCTCGCCCGTCAATCATTCTCTCCCTCCCATCTGGGCCGTCGAGGTCGAAGTGGTCCAGGCAATCCCCGAGCCCTTCGAACAGCTCGCAGGGCAAGCCCAGGCAACCCCAGGCGGCCTCGAGAGCACGCAGCGCCTCCGGCGCAGGGAGGGCGCTGGGCCGCCCCCCCTGGGGAGAGGGGGAGAGCAGGAGCTCAGAACGAGGCTGGCGGGCACGGCACGGCACGGCACGGCACTGCGGCACCACATGGCACAGCACCTCCGCTGTCGGATCACATCCAGACTACGAAGCACAACAACAGTCGCTGCTTTGGCGAATCCCGAATAAGCCTTACAGCCTTCGCTGCTGCGGGAACACGTTTCCGCCCTCAAGCCCCGCGCCACGGCAAGGCACCAGCAACACGACACGCAACAGCATAGCACCACGCCAAGCCGCGGCACGGCACAGCAAAGCACGGCACCTCCGCCGTAGCAAGCCACCACTCGGCTCCCCCGTCAATCCCCCACGTCACCGAACACCACCCGCGGCACGTCACAGTACCAGGGCACGATACGGCACATTTACCCGACCAGATCACGATTTGGCTTCTTTTGAAAACAAAGCTCCACAAAGACATCCCAAAAATACAGTGTGCACCTGGGCACCAGCAGCACGGCACGGCACGGATCAAACTGAAGCCTTTGCGGGGCCACCACGGCAAGGCACGGCACAGCACTAAACCGTGGACAACAAGATGCAGGCTGGCGCCCTCCCAGCCCCCCAGCAGAGCACATCACGGCACCAGCAACAAGAAACTCACGAATATGTGCCTGGCAGGGCCCCCACGGCACGGCACGCACGTCTCGGCACGCACGGCACGGAACCGCGGACAAGACGGCACCCTTCTGAACCGTGGGAAAGCACGGCCCAGCAACGCAGACTGGAGGATCACGAGCCAGCGCCCTGGAACGGTCCCCACACCAAGGCACGCCACAACACGCACGGCACTGCAAGGCATCACGGACAGCTCGATCACGAGCTGCGCGCCCTACATCCACACCTCGATCCCCACCGCGAAACACCGTTCGGCAAAACACGGTATGGATGACAATCGGATCGCCAGTCGGCACCCCGGCACAAAGCACGCACGCACGGCACAACACCACGTAATGAGAGCAAAATCCCGCGTTGGCTCACTCTCGCCCCCTCGAGATGAAATCCTGCATATTATTGACAACAATCGCTGCTCTGATACTATTTTAGAGCCAATCCAGTATTCGCTGCTCGAAGGTTACAGCATTCGCTGCTTCGGAAGTGACACGACTTCCGCACGCATATGCGGGATGGTTTAATAAATGTGACAAGTAGCCAGAGGGGACCGCAGGATGGGGAAGAGCGAAGGGAGGGAAGGAGGCAGATTTGAGTCAACAGGGGAGGGGGGGGAGGACGAGGATGATGAAAAGGAGAAGGATGAGGAGGAAGAGGCGCCAAGAGCCTCCCCCCTTTCCCCCTTTGCCTCACATTCGATCCCCCGTTTGGTCCTTCCTTCTTCTCTCTGCACCCCTTGGTTTTGTTCGACCCTCCCCCAGCACTGGCTGGGAGGAGGGCTATCGAGGGGTATCGCTCGACGGAGTCCGCAGCTCGAAGCTCGAAGACGGCGGCAGCTGTGGCACTGGCAGCAGACGCTGTTGCGAAGAGGCAGCGGCAGCGACAGCTGGGGAGGCCGGCCGACGTGCGACCTGCGAGCAAAGGCGGGGCTGGGCGCAGGAGAAGCAGGCGGGGGCAGGAAGGAGCGGAAGCAGCAGCGGTACAACCAGCACAGAGGAGGCAGAGCAAGAGCAATAGCAAGAGCATGAGCACGGGCCGTACCAACAGCAAGGTAAGAAGGCGCAGGAGAGTAGGCGGGCACAGGGAAGCGACAAAGGATGAAAACGAGGGCAACGACGACGACGACGACGACAACGACGAGAAAGAGAGGAACGCAGGAGAGGGAGGAGGAAGCGGAGGAGGGGGAAAGAGGTGAAGGAGGAGAAGGGCGACGAAGGGCGAGACGAGGAAGACAGTGACGAGGCGGACGAGGAGTGGAGAAGTCGGAGGATGCGGAGAGGCAACGGAGAAAAGTTAAAAAGAAAAGGCAGAGGACGAAGGCGGCAACGAGGACGGTGGCATGGACGGGGACGTGAACGCACACGGGGAAGACGACGCCGATGAGGACGACAACGAGAACAACGAGAACAACGACGACGACGACGACGACGATCACGACCACGATCACGACCACGACCACGACCACGACCACGCCTACGACCACGACCACGACTACGACCACGACCACGACCACGACCACGACCGCGGCGGCGACGGCGCCCACGACCACGACTACGACCACGACCACGACCACGACCACGACCGCGGCGGCGACGGCAACGGCGGCGAAGACGGAGCGGCCGGCGTGAGCAAAGACGAAACGCGCGGCGAGCGCCTCGTCCAGGCCGAGCCTGGCGTCCAGCCGTGGCGCCTCCCCGCCGCTCCCCGCGCCTGGGCGCGGCGAGGTCGGCCGAGGCCCCGGGGCTGCCCCTGCCTCCCCCTCCTGCGCGGGGGGACATGTCGGCCGTTTCCGCCCGCCTCGGGATGCCTTCCGGCGGCTGCGCCTCGCCGAGGGCGCTCTGGGGGGGCCCAGATCGTCCCGACCGGCCGCTGGAGCCCCGAGTCATGGTCCGAAAACCACCGGGGACTGGCTCCTGCGGAGCTGGGCGCCTGTACACCACCACCACCAAGCCTGGCCAGGGCCAGTCACGGCGATGGCGTGCCGGGTGCCTTCTGCAGGTCTCCCCCAGATGAACACAGCAGCCAAAAACGAAAAACTAGCAAATAAAAAGCTGAGGGGGCGGAAGACAAGCCCGTCCCCACTCCCCTGTCACTCTCCTCATCATCAATTCCCATCCGAGCCTTCCCCCCGCCCCCGGTCGGGTCACAACAACGACGACTACAACGACCACGACCACGACCACGACCACGATCACGACCACGGCTACGACCACGCCTACGACCACGACCACGCCCACGACAGCGACCACGACGACAACGACAACGACGACGACGACGACGACGACGACCACGACCACGACGACCACGACCACGACCACGATCAAGACCACAACGACGACGAGGACGACGACGACGACGACGACGACGACGACGACGACGACGACGACGACGACGGCGGAGACGGCGGCGGCGGCGGCGGCGGCGGCGGCGGCGGCGACGACGACGACGACGACGACGACGACGACGACGACGACGACGACGACGACGACGACGGCGGCGATGACGACGGCGACGTCACCGCGCGCGAGGCCGCGGCGGCTGCGGCGGCCGCGGCGGCTGGGGCCATGAAGGCCAGGGCGGCGGCGAGCAATGCGAGGCACGCCTGCCGCGGACCCGACCGCTGTGGAGCCGATGCCGGCCACAGCGGCGGCCAGCGCCGCCCGCCGCGCGCCGGCGTCGCGCAGCGTGGCCCGCAGGCAGCGCAGCTGCACGTCGGAGCCTGTGCGACGTCGTCGTTGTCGTCGTCGTCGTCGTTGGCGGCGTCGTCGGCGGCACCGTCATCGGCGGCGCCGTCGTTAGCGGCGCCAGCGTCGGCGTCGTTGGCGCCAGCGATTTGTTATGCTTCTTTACTTTTACGTGTTAAAGTGTATGGGTGGTAATAATATGCTTGTCTTATGATTAACAGTATTACGATTGATCAAATTAGTACTGCTATTCCTACGAAGCAAGCGCACCAAAAAGGGCCTCCGTCCATCCTCCCCCCCTGCTCCCCCCTCCTCCCCGCCCCGTACGTCCCCCCACTCTCCGCTCGCCCCCGCCCTTCTACCTTCTACGGTTGGCGCTGGAAAAATAGCGTGCAGGATCGATGGCGTGAGACGATGCCCCGCAAGGGCCCCTGCTGTGCACGCCGCTCCCCCGCCTGGATTTCTTCTGCGCACGCTATCTCTCGGGTGGGGGATAGCCTGTCACAGGCGGGCCGGCGGCGCCACATCGCACGCTATCTGCCCAGTGCCGCCCGCACCCAAGATGGCGCAGATGTGCCAGCGGCCCCAAAACGGTGGCGAGCGAGGGGGGGGTTCTCAGAAGCCCTCTGGCCTCCTGAAGGATGTTGCGTCTTTGGGGAAGGCTTCGAAAACATCTCCGAGGGCCAGTGGGCTCCCGAGCCTTGTGAGAAGGCCTGCCCCTTCTCACTTCCCCCCGCCGGGCTCGCCGCCGACCCAAGACGGTCACAGGACGCCCCCATCAATGACGCCGCCGCCGCGCTCGCCGTCGCCGCGGCCGCCGATCCGCCCCCCCCCACCCCCGGCGGCCTGCGCCGCCGTGCTCCGCTGGGGGTGCGCCTCCGAGCTCACGCATGGCTGCGGGCGCCTTCGCGGCCGCGGGGGCGCGGGGCTGCAGCCGCCCTGGTGCGCGGGGGCAACGTCCGATTCGAGGTCTGAGGTTTCCTCGAGGGGGGCAAGCACTGACACAAGCGCAAGAATCCAGGGGTCCGCGCGGAGTTCTCGGATCGGCGCTGGACCCCCTTCCCTGGCGGGCGGAGCGCGCCATGGGCGATGCCGCCAGGAGGGCTCAGCGCCTATCCGTGGAATCCGCGCAAACTTCCGAGGTGTATGTTTATGGTTTTGTTTGCTCACCTATGTTCGGGCGTTTTCGTCGGTTCTCCGCTGCTCTCCACACTCGCCTCGACAGGGGCGGGACTGCGGCCGCCCCAGTGCGAGAAAACGACTTCATTCCTCTTCCTGTCCATTATGTCCCTCCTTTCTGGTCTTCTCTCCTCCTCCCCCCTCCTGCTGCCGCACTGCTGCTGACCGCTGCCATTTGGGGCCCTTGAGCCGCTCGCCGCGCCGCGCCATGGAAAGAGCGAGCGCCCGGCCCTCCCTGGTGCTGTCCACAGAGTTGAAGCCAGAACTTGTTCTTCCAGAACCAAGCCAAATTTCTTGACATGACTCGTTTGTCTACCGATCCAAAGAACGAAACTGGTGCGACTGGCGCCCTTGGCTTTGACTACTTGATGTCCTTCATGCAACAAGAAAACAGAACCAAAGACGACGTGGCAAAGCTGCTTCGTTTCTCGTCTTGGCTATAAAGTACACCCGGAACGGTGGAAAGCTGCAGGATTACGTATCCGAAAGCGTGAGGCTCACTAGCGATTTCGAAGAAGAATTTGTCAAAGCACTCATCCCCATAATGAACGCAGAGCTCTCCCAGCACCAACTCAGCAACTTGAGCGCGAATCTGGACATGGATGCAATCCAAAAGGTGTTGGGAGACAACCTCCTAAGAAAAAAACGCCACGGACGGACTCACAGCAGACCTCTGAGACGAGCCTGGATGGCCCGACTCTCAGTGGGAAGAGCCGTTTTACTACGACCAGTCTTGGCAGGAAGCCAACTGGGAAGACGCAGCCTACGGAAACAACAAAGGGTGTCTGAGGTGCGGCGACCCCAACCACTGGGTCCCGCAGCGCCCACACCCGCCAAACAACAAAAGGAAAAGAAAAGCCAACACCCCAGGCCGGGGTTCAGGCAAAGGCTACGGAACAGAAGTTGGGAAGGCAACCCCTGGCAGGGGCAAAGGGGCAAAACTTACCAGGCTGGCAAGCACAACGGAAAGCCCGCAAGCGGAAAGCCCACCAGCTCACCCACCAGTTCCAAAACCAAAAGCACAAGAAAAGGGAAAATTGCACAGAAACCGCCAGGGAAAGCGACCCACGCACTCACAGCTGATGACTCCAGCTGGCGGATGGGAAGTGGCGATTGGTCGGAACATCATAACTGAAGCTCTGGTCACGCCAGCGGCTACGAAAACCACCCCGACTCGGATGTTCAATTCGCTGAGTCATTCGTGGCGGAGCACTCTGACGAGCATGCCACTGAAAACCAACCGCCGCGACCACCGCGCGAGCGGAGGCTTCCGAGCCCACGGCCAGAACAAGCGCAGCAGCTGCGCGCCTTCAGGGCGCAACTGCTGGACAACGAGCTGGCGCACCCCCGCTCCCTCCAGGAGCAGAGGTTGCCGGAAACGTCACGTCCACCTCCCAACGCTGCAGCAAGTGCGTCGTCTAGCTACGTCCGCTTCGCGTCGTCCCGCTACGCCGCAGAGACCTGGCCGTCGAGCCTGGACCCCCGGCCGATGGAATGGCTTCTGCGAAGGCGGAACGCGCTGGACTGGCGAGCTCGGGTCTCCCGGCCGCTGGAAGAGCCGCTCCAGCCGACCGCGACCTGTCGCCCAGCGCTCCATCCGGACAGGCGTGCTTGGGCTCCCCAACCGCCGGAATGGATGGTTCGCGCAGCGTGCCCGCGGGCATAGGCCCGTTCCGGGCAGCTCACTCCGAGGGTTGCCCGCGCCGACTGGCGCACGTCAGCTGCTGTTGTGGCCAGGTGATGGCGCGGCACAGGTGCATGTCCCACGAGTGCGAGATCATGTGCTTCACGCGCGAGAGCGTCGACTTGGTCGACCCGCTGCTCCGCGAGCCGCGCTGGCGCATGGGCCCGCAAAGCGACGACTACGAGGACGAGCAGGTCAACGACGACGACTTCGACAAAGACGACAGCAACGGAGACGGCGAAGACGACGAAGAAGACCGCCGAAAAAACGCCAGACGAAGCCGACGAACACAGGACGGACGACGACGACGACGACACCAAAAACAGCGACCCCGAAGAAGACAACCGCGCTTCTGAAGACAACTGCATTTCTTACGTCGCCGAAACAGCGGTGCCGGAAGAAAGCCTGCATACCGACATCGCCGTCCACGAAGCTATCGTCGATCCTGGCTGTTCCAAAGGCATAGTTTCTGAAGACCGTCACCAACGGTTCAAACAACTCCTCACCAACGAGTTCCCTTACCTGCGTGCGTCAGGAATGCCGTCTTCGACAGTGCATCGCTTCGTTGGGGGCGATGCGAAAACGGCCACAAGTCTAGCCAACGTGCCTGTTCAAACTCAACTGAAGGATCGACTTCGAAGTAGTCAAAACAGGCACAGGTCCGCGAGCCACACCTTTTCTGTTGTCCAAACCACAGCTGAAAAACCTGCGGGCCGCTGCCGATTTCGATGGGGACGGTTTTTTTTTCTGAAGTCAGCACGGCAGACAATACCACTGAAGACCAGCCACGCCGCGCACCACCTGCTTCAAATCCTTTCCGCGCGCCCAACAGCGCCACACGCAGAACCTTCTACGGTCATCAGACCCAACAGCAAAGAAACACGACACGCGGAACCTTCTACGACCACGTGCCCCAATAACAGAGAAACAGCGCGTGTAACCATCACGGTGCTAGACAGCCCAAATCTCGACGCCGCCTCGTCTGCCCAAGTTGAAGCGCGACCTGGCCACCGAGGCGGGACTGAAAGAGATCCACGATCGACTCGGCCACCCAAGCGCGGAGCACCTGATGCGTAAGATTGCCCCTGCGCTGGACCCCGGAAACGCGCCTGCAGCGAAAGCCCCGGCAGAACATATCACAAACAATTGCAAAAAATGCGATAGTTTTCGGAAGGCCGCCCCCCATCCCAAGACCTCCGGGTTGAGCGCCAGATCGGTCAACCAGATTGCGTGCACCGATTCATTAGAGATCAAATTAGGCACCCAACCAATCATCCTTCACCACATGATCGATACTTTCACGAAGTAACCCCTGGCAGAGGGGGCTCCGACGAGGGAGCCCAGCGGCACGCTACACGCACGCTCTCGGCGGCAATCCACGTTTGGAAGCCTGCCTGACAACATTTTGACCGACAACGGTGGTGACTATGCCAACGAAGAGGTAGAATAGTACTTGGAGCTACACGGAGTACGTCACTGGTGGACCCCTCCCCGCACTCCTGCTTCGAACGGCCTCGTTGAACGACGCAACGGGGTCTTGAAGATAATCTTCTAAAAATTAGCGAAGGGTACTCATGAGCCACACTGGCAGTAGAAAGCTCACCACTGCGGACGTCGCGCTGCAGACCTGCGCTGCCAAGAACGCCCTGGCGCGACGATGTGGGTTTTCGCCCCAGTTTTCAGCGCCCGGGAACAACCCCTTTTTCCACGCCATCGACGAGGCAGACCCTCCCATGCTCCGGGGCCTCCCCGCGGACCCCGCGAGCAGCGCTCAGGCCGGGCTGCCCCTCTGGCGGGCCGCGCAGCAGGTAGCTATCCAGATCCAGTCGTGTTCTGTTTTGCGGGATCTGTTCAAGTCACGATTGGCTGGCACGCTTGGCCCCGGGGGCGCCGGGGCCGTCGCTGATAGGGTAGCCGACGACAACTCCAAAGACAAGGCGTCTGGAAAGGCTTGGAAAGGACTGACAACCGTGCTAGGTATGGAAGGCCAACAGAAAGTGTGGATCCGCACGCAAGATGGACACGCTATCTCTGCGCACCGGCACAGGGCCCGCCCTCGCGAGCGCAGAGAGATCGTGGAACTCCAGGCCCAGGCGCCCGCGCAAGAAGCCGCGAACAGCAAGAACGAACAAGGCTCAGAAGACGCAGCTTTGTCACCACCACCGCCTCCAGCTGCACCACCGCCGGCCTTGCCAACGCCACCTCCTGCCACACCTGCTCCGGATGGTTTTCCAAGACCTGCGAACCTGGGCTGCCCCGCCGTGGGAAATGAACCAGCGCTGCCTCCTCCTCCTCCTCCTCCTCCTCCTCCTCCTCCTCCTCCTCCTCCGGCGCAACCTCCGCACTTGCAGACTGGCAGTTCTTCAGCCGGAACTGTCGAGCCGAGCCGCCGACTCTCTAGCAAGCAACAGCTGCCACAAAGACGGAAGGGAGAACACGAAGTTGATGAAGACGAGCCTACACACAAATCACAAACTCTGCAAAGCTCGGTTCTTGCAGCAGACAACAACGACGCTGACGAGTCGTTTTTCGAAGTATCAACACAATAGAGCACGATGGCTGAAGTTGCGAATGTTTGCAAGACTTGCCCAGAAAACGCACACGCCCGAGGGCGTTATGTTCTCGATGTTCTGGCAGCCGTGAAAACATTGAAACGAGCAATGGAAGCCCCGCGGAAGACAGCGGAAGCAGACCAAGGTTTCGAAGCACCCCAGTTTCGTGAAGTAGACGCTGTTTCGGACAACTTCGATGTGGTTTTGCTTCCAGGCGGCGCCTCTGCAGCGCCGTCCCGCTTCGTCTACACGGCCCCAGACGGCGAACCAAAGGCCCGCCCCGTGGCGCAGGGTTGTTTCGAGTCCGGCAAGGACAGCCACGTGGTAGAGAGCCCCACCGCGCATCGCCACTCCGTCCGTTCCCTGCTCTGGCTCGCTGCGCACATGGGCTTCGAACCAAAAAAGTGGGACGCGAAGACGGCTTTCTTGGAAGCTGACGCTTCTGCAGATCCCAATCGGGGCGAAACTATCGCGTTCGCTCGACCACCTGCTGGCGATGAGTTGCCTGACGGACACGCGCGGCGACTGAAGCGCGGAAAGAATTTCTACGGATTGCGCCGTGCACCATGGGTTTGGTTCTTTCATGCGCGGCCCCTCCTCCTGGAGCGCGGTTTTGTCTAATCGAGTTGGGACTCGCGCGTGCTTCTGCGTTTCGTGAACGAGCAGCTTCAAGGTTTCGTTAGTCTCCACGCAACGACGCCTTGATGGCCAGGACTGAAGCCTTTTGGAACATAATGGGAGCTTGCCACTGCAATGGGGCACGCGTGAGCATGGGGACTTTCTGCGGTTTGCATGTCAACGTAGACACGCCGTACATCACCCTTGACCAGATAGAATATTGTCAGCTGCTCTTATTCATATCTGTTCCTGCACACCGCCTGCGGCAGCCGCCGCCTGCTGTCGCGGAGGCAGAACGAGCTTCCCCGCGCCAGCGCCGCGGTGAGCAGATTTGGGCATCGGACCAAACAGCTCCAACCGGCTCCTTCCACGTGAGTTTTGCGGCATCAAAGGCGCAACCGGCGACTGTTAGCACGCTGTTGGACTGCAGCAAAAACGCCCGCCGCCTCGAGAACGCCCCAATAGTCTTAACGTTTGGCCCAAATGTCCAAAGACATCAAGACATCTGCGTAGATTGTTTCTGCGATTCTTCCAGAGGCTCTCCTCCGCAGCGCGGCATGGCCACGTTCATCGGGGAGAGAACGGGGAGGAATAAAGTCGTTCGTGCTGCAACGTACAGGCGGGCATCAAAGAAGCAACTCCGCGCGTGCATCTCCACGTTGGCAACCGAGGCCCTCTCGGCAGAAGCCGCCTCGGATGTAAATTTTCCCACGAGACGCCGGATCCAAGAATCTCTGAGCCTCCGCCTGGTGTCCTGCTTACAGCTAGTTGGTCTTTTGCGACAAATATCTACTCTGCAACGCCACACCTTTCGGACGAAGGTATGACTCCAGCGTTCCAGTGAGTTCGCGAAGCGGTTGTTTCATGGACCCCCAAACACTGAGAGAAAGCATTTCCTTTAGAGCTACTCTGGATGCCAAATTCTGAAATGGTTGCTGATCCTCTCGCCAAGGACAAATCCCACCCAGAGAAACTTTTAGCTCCAATCCGGTCTGGCACGCTCACGTTCGCCTCAGCAAGCAAGCCAGCCACCGCACCATCAACGAGTGCCAACGCAGCGACGCCTGCCAGACCTTCACGCCTGGGTTCCCCGGCTGAGGGAACGGCGGTCGCCAGCGCCATGGTTGCAACAGCCATCAGCGCCCGGGCGCCAGCAGCTCCCGGCTGCACGAGCAGAGCTCGACCTCCGCATCCAGGCGCTACCTCGGGGGCGCCCTCGCCGGCTCCTCCGGCAGAGCGCCCAGCCGACGAGCAGCTCGCATCGCTTCCGCCGGCACGCTGGCTCAGCAACGTGGAACGGCAGCTCCAACACAATTCTCTGAGCACGATGTGCACCGAACGCCGGGCTCTGCAGAAGCTCCAGAACAAGCAGGATATCTCCCGTGAGCGACAGCTTGAGCGCGCTGTGGATCTGGCCCAGAGGGAGTTGCAGGCAACGCAAAAGGCAGCCCGCATGGACAAGCGCATCAAAGCAGCAGATAATGATGCTTTTGACAAGCCAGAGAAATACAAAGATGTGTTGCATCGTCGAGACGTTGCTGAGATGGGACACCACATGTCCTCCAGAAAGCTCCGAGACAGACAGAAAGCGAAGCGACACAGAGCGGACTGGGAACAGCGTCGCGGCAGGCATGGCGGTCGGGCAGAGACAGCAACGACCGATCCAGATTACGTTTTGGATGGCACGCCTGGCGGGGGCGTCCAGCGCCGATCCGTTTTGGATCATGCTCGGAATTTCTGTCCGGAGCGAGAGGCAATGCGTCCTGTCGCTAAGAGAGAGATGTCTCGTAGCAGAGATCGTTGTCCCGAGTCCTCAAGAGTCCGACAGGACATTGTCGCGCGATGGAGACGACAAAACCACGAATGACAGGAGCCACGTCGTCACGAGGGCAGACCGGGCGCCCGAACTGAGGCTGTCCACCGACAGGAACATGAAAAGACCGCCTCCGAGCGCAGCCCGAAAAGCAAAGAAAGCTACAAGGCGAGCAGA